TCACATGGATCTGTCTGGCCTTCATGGTAGCTGCCAGCCGAAGGCCACAGAGGAGGGTCTCATACTCCGCTTCATTATTGGAGACTTTGAAGGAGAAACGGATGGCATAGTAGGCGCGGAAGCCTTCGGGCATAATGAGAACTATCCCTCCTCCGCATGCTTTGGCGGCAGAGGAGCCATCGATATAGAGGGTCCACCAATCATCCGAGGGTGCCGAAGGCTCATCATCCCCCGCCGATCTTGCTGTGCATTCTGTTACAAAGTCCGCCAGGGCTTGGCCCTTTATGGCGGGCCTCGCACGGATGTCAATGTCGTACTGGTTAAGGAAGATAGCCCATTTTACCATTCGGGAGGAGCTGGTGGGGCTCCTCATCAAACCGCCGAGGGGTTGGTGTGTGAGGACCTGGACCGGATGGGCTTGGAAGTAATGGCCCAGTTTCTTGACGGTCCAAACGATGGCGAGCACCATCTTTTCCACAGGATAATACCAGAGTTCGGCCTCCCTGAGAGTTTTGCTAACATAGATGATGGCATGTTGGATGCCGTCATCCGGGTGTAGGTGGCACCTGAATTTTTTAGGCCGAAGGCCATCACCAGATAGCAGAAGATGCCTTCGGGTGTCATGGAGGCTGTTTTTTCAGCGTCTTCCTCGTGCATGAAGATTTGGTGATATCCGCGGAAGGTGTCGAGGAATGACATGATTTCGCATCTCGATGTCTCGTCCACCAGTTGGTCAATATTTGGCAGTGGGAAAGGGTCCATGGGGCATGCCTTATTCAGATCTGTGTAGTCCACGCACATGCGGAAGGTGGGCGGCTTTTGTGCGAGGACCACGTTGGCCAGCCATGAGGGGTACTTTACCTCCTTGATGTGTCTGATGGAAAGGAGAATGGTGACCTCTTTCTTTACAAAATTCCTCCTTTCGGCCGAGAGGGGCCTTCTTCTTTGTTGCACGGGTCTGGAGGAAGGGTCCACCGATAGGCGGTGAGTGATTACCTTTCGGCTGATTCCTGGCATGTCCTCCGGCCCCCATGCAAAAAAAATGGAGTAGGCGTGGAGGGCATCGGTGATGGTGGTCTTCAAACCTTCAGGGAGCTTGTCTCCTATCTTCACGACTCTCTGTGGCATGGCCGGATCGAGCGCAAAGTATTCTACCTCTTCGACTGGTTCTGCCCTCGACCTCTTCTCTTCTTCCTCCACAGTTCTGGTGATGGTGTCTACTCGGAACTCAACCTTACTGATCTTCTTTGTTATTTGGAGGTAGCAGGTCTGAGCGAGTTTCTGATTCCCCCTTGAGTACCCAATGCCCCCTTTAGCTGGGAATTTGAGGCATAGGTGTCTCATGGAGATGACAGCCTCCAAATCTTCGAGGGCGGGTCGTCCGAGGATGATGTTGTGGGCGCAGTCGATGTTGACGACAACAAACTCCACCTCGAGCTTGGCTCTATGGAGTCTGTCGCCGAAGAGTACCGGGAGGGTTATTACCCCCTCGGAATCTATTGTATCTCCGGTGAAACCTGACAGAGGGGTCCGGATAGACCGAAGGGACTCCCTCTCCAGGAGCAGCTCCTTGAATGTGCTCAGGTACATTACGTTGACGGAGCTGCCCATGTCACCGTAAGTTCTGTGGACAATGGTATTATTGATCTCGCTCTAGATCACTAGCGCATCCCGGTGAGGGGAGGAAGCCGGGGGGAGATCAGCGTTGGTAAACATGATGGGCTCTACTCTCAACCGCTTCATGGGGGGCATATGAGTGACCTCCCCTATGTAAAGGGCCTGCGCCCATTTCTTCCTTTGGCTAGTGGAGTCTCTCCCCATGTTGCCGCCAGTGATCATGTGGATGTGGCGCTTCTTGTCTTGGCACTGATCGTACCCTTCTTCCTCATCAAGATTCCCGATCTCCCTCTTCCTTCCGTTCGGGTTGCTGAAGGGGATAGTGTTCGGATTGATCCGGGCGTTTGCCTGCCTGTGGCCCTCGAGGGGGACCCTGATACTTAGGGCCCCTGACAAATTGGGATAGATGCCCCGCCTGTATCAACCTCTCGATGGCTGTCTTTAGCTGGTGGCAGTCATCGGTCTTGTGCCCTTGGTTACGATGGACACAACAGTATGGTTCATTGGGGTTGATGACGTATACCTCTAGGGGTGCGCGGGAGTTGCGCTCCATGAGGCCCCTCTCCTCGGCATAATCCAGGATGACGCTGATGGGCTGCGTGAGGGGAGTCCGAGGGTGCTCCAGGAGGATGGGTTGTGCCCAAGCCTTCGGGTTATTCTTGTAACCTCCCCTGGGTTTGGCTTGGCCATGCCGAGGGCGATCGCCCGAGGGGGACGGGCCTTTGGATTGATGGAATGGAGCCCCCGGGCCCCAGTTGTTCCTGTCACCCTGCTTGGGGCGTTGTTGTTCGGGGTTTCGATGGGACCTCTCCACCTCCTCGGCCTCCGCGTATCGGTCTCCCCACTGGAGGGCTTTTATATAGTCGCGTGGAGGCTCGATAATAAGGCTCCTGGAGAAGTTGTCGGTACGGAGGACCATCTGTAGAAGACCCATGAGGGTCCTATCGTCGGCACCGTCAACCTTGTCCGTCTCTAGCCTCCAACGCTCAAGGAAACCTCGAAGGGTCTCCTCCCTTTGTTGCCTTATTGTGAGTGGGTGGGAGAAGTGCTTCTTGGATCGGTGCCTTCCCGCAAATTGTGTCAAGAAGCGTTGGGCTAGTTCTTGCCAAGAGTCAATGCTGCCCTCGGGTAACCGGTTGAACCATTCGTATGCCGGGCCCTCCAGAGTGGAGAGGAACCAACGACACAAATATTCATCTGATGCCCCCATCATCATCATGTTGTTTTGGTATCTGCTGTAGTGCTCCTGGGGGCCAGTCTTTCCTTCATAGGGCTTGATGGGTTTCCCTTGGTATTTTCCCGGAATCTGGGCCGCCAACACCCTTGGGGTGAATGGCATCCTAGTTCGGAGTTGGATGACGGGTTCCCCAGAGCCTTCGACAAATTTCCTCTACATCTCCTCCATTTTGGCCAGCATGGCGGCATATTTGGGGTCTGCCTGCGAGGCGGAAGCGGTCGTGTGTGCTTGGTGGGCCTTCATTTCATCAAGGCGGCGTTGGAGAGCCTCAATAATTTCGTCCATGTGATCCTTCGGGAGGGCCTCCGCCCCCTGTGATTGTACACGGGCCGAGTGGGCCTGGTTGATTTGGTTGTGGCGTCATCGGCATGCAGCGGTGCCTTTCCTTTATCCTGAGCGGGGCGCCTCTCGTCTGCCCTCGATATTGACCCCCCGCTTTCTTGAGGTCTTTGGAGTGCCTTACCACTGAGGCGGTCTTGGACCCCTTGGTGATCTTGCACCCCTCCGATCCTCTCGAGGGCAGAGGACCAAGGCCTCTCTTTGTTCGCACCGCGCTGGTCCTAGGATTGGACTTCCTGGGATGCGGTGTCTTGGGCCATGACCCCTTCGGCGTTCCCTAGCCGGAGGATAGGGTTTACGAAGGGGGACGGAGGAGGGGGAGGAATGACGTTCTCCCTGACCTGCGGCTGAAGTGGTACCAGAGTGCCGAAGGCACCTGGATTCTAGGTGAGTGTTTGGATGAAGGTAGAAGATGCTGACAGCACGTCAATAGTGAGGACCGGAGGGCTCACCTGATTTTTGCTCCGGTCCCTCCTTCAGGTTTCGATGCCAAGGCGGGCATCAGAAGCATTTTGCTGGAGCTGAAGGCGCAGGTCGACATCAACCTGTTCCAACCCAGCGATGACTCCGCCCTCGGGAGTCTTGTTGGAGGCTCTGGGGCGTCGACTTCGCCGAGGGCCAGGTTGTTGTCCTCAAGGGTCTTGTACTGGGCACGAGTGGTTCTTCCCATTTTGGTAGGTGTTCTGAGCTGAAGGGGAGGGTTTCTTACTTGATTGTTCGACCTCTCAATGAAAGCACCAAATGATGGATAGTGTACCCGGGGGGTATCTTATCCGAGGGGTTATTGCGGGAATAACTTAGAGAGAAGTCAGAGCAAGTAAGCAAGAGAGAGAGGGTGTATATTCGATATGAATTCAGCGTGGTTTACAATGGAGAAATGGGCTGCTATTTATAGTAGCAATAAATGCTAGATAAGGACACGTGTCAATAAACTGGTGGTCGAGGAGTCACCTCAATCGGGGTGGCACCGGCATTCGCATGTGGCCGCATTAAATGGTTGGATGCGAAGTTTGTACTTGGAGAGGAGATTCTGTCGAGGAGGATGCCTTCGGTTGAAGGGTGTTGGGTCGAAGGCTCTCCTAACTGAGGGTTGTATATGCCGAAGGCTCGGTTTTCACGCCCGGTTCTCCTGTGATGTTTCTGAGCTCGATTCTGTCAACGATAGCCTTCGACCCTGGGGCTGAAGGCACCCTTATTGCGTAATGTGGACTTCTTAGAACTTCATCTTGTTGGGCTTGACCCGTTTTGGACCTATTGGACCTGATTACAGTAGTGGGAGTACGTGGGCCGGAGGTTCCCGAGGCATATACTCCATCATCATCCTATACTGATTTTCCTATTATGCTCCTGTGTTAGTATAATACTCCCGTGTTCGTATTTCATGTGGATGCATTCTACTACCTCCGTCCCGCTATGATTGTCCCATTTTACTTTATCGGTCTGTCCCACTAAGATTGTCCCATACCAAATTTGGTAAAGTTTGTGTGGCTCTAAATTATTCTTTCTTTATTCTTACTTTATCAATTCAATATCAACCACACAACTCACTTTTTATTGATTTGCGTGCCACCCCCTCTTGTCCCATTGTTAGCGGGACGGAGGGAGTACTATATAATTTTCTTTTTGACCATTACTATATACGTAATAAAAAATTAAGCAAGGACACTTATGTCAAAAGGAGACGCGCATAACAATTACAGAGGCGCGCGAAGCAAACCCCAATCTAGATTCTAGAATTAGGGAAATAGGGCAAAAAAGGTTTTCAATTAGTCTCAAACTTTTAAATAATTTCAAAAATACCACGCTATAATTTTCGCCTAGTCGGCCGGTCGTTCGTCAGACTCCTCCAGTCCGCATCTCCAGTGAGTTCCAGTCACCGCCGCTCGCCGTCGCTCTGTAGCAGCTCTCTGTCCTCTGCCGGGAGTTCAAGTTGCGACTTGCTCCAGCAGTCCGATCTCTCTATTTCCGCTCGCTGAGGTAGGTAATTTGCCACTCTCTGCTTATTTCTCATCGTCATTACCTACCTTTCATAATTTTGAAACCTAAAAAATTAAGAATATTTAAAACCTAATCTGAAAATGTAATGAATTTCCATACCATATGCTTTAACCTAATCTAAATTTCTATAAATTATAAACTCGCTAAATGATAATGTTGTATAATTGTATTGCAGTATTGCTAAGTTATTATTCATTGTGTGCTTAGATGTGAATCTTTTATTTCTCAATCTTTAGATTTCTTTTCAAGGAAATCTAGCCTCTTCTAACCGTCAAGCCTGACTGCCTGACAGAATTTTTGTTTCGTTTTCTTTCTTCAAAATCTATTTTCAAATAGCCTAACTCTCAGCTGTTTTTTCGGGGTTTTTCTTGAATAACTGTAGTCCAAATCCAAATATAACGAATCAAAATGGCAGGGTGGCGGGTAGTGGGGTTTTCCCGTAAGCTGCTCTTTTTGCATTTTTGTTTTGTTTGTTTTGTCTCGTTTGTGATGTGTTAATCTTTCTAGAATTTCCCTCTGCTTCCGTGTGCATTTTGAGCTTACAAAATTAGGCCGTTGGAGCTTTTGTTTCCAGAACCACTTTTCTCCAAGTGTTTGAGACACAAATAAGCAACACTTGGTTGATGGACTTCCCTGAGTGGATCCGCGAATTAATGGAGTCTGATGAATGGTTCTTCCGCCATAGCATCAAGCTTCTGCTCCTCCTCGCACTACCCGTATACATTTCCTGCCGCTTCATCACCGCCCCTTTCGGAAAGCACGTCCGTCCTGGTTGGGGACCGACCATCCCCCCACCCCTGGCCTGGTTTGTGATGGAGAGCCCCACACTCTGGCTTACTCTCCTCCTCTTCCCTTTCGGCAAGAACCATTCCAACCCGCTTGCCCAGATCCTCATAGCTCCATATTTGATTCACTACACGAACAGAACCCTCATATACCCGCTCCGGATTTACCTCACGTCTTATCGCCTGAAAAGGTCTGCTGCCGGGTTCCCAGTGAGCATTGCTTTGATGTCGTTCACTTTCAACATCCTGAATGCTTACCTGCAGACCAGATGGGTTTCTCACTACGCCGGTGATTACGACGGCGGTGTGCTGTTCTGGTTGCGATTCAGTGCCGGATTGGTGGTTTTTGTTTCCGGAATGACGGCAAACTGTTGGGCGGACAGAGTATTGCTTGGGCTGAAGAGTGAGGGTGGTGGGTATAAGATACCCAGAGGTGGGCTGTTTGAGTATGTTAGTTGCCCTAATTACTTTGGGGAGCTTTTGGAGTGGTTTGGGTGGGGGGTGATGATGACTTGGTGGTCTTCAGCTGGATTTGCCTTCTTTCTCTTCACTTTTGCCAACTTAGTTCCCCGGGCATATTCCCATCACAAATGGTATCTGCAGAAATTCAGGGAGGATTACCCTACGAAAAGGAAGGTTGTCATTCCTTTTCTCTACTGATGAGTATTGGTTTGTTACTGTTAACCCCATGACAAAGTAAAGGACTTGAAATTTACCATGTTTTCTTACTCTTCTCTTTTACAAGGAAACAAGTATTTGAACTTTGAGTGAAAGAAAGTGCCCAGGGTGAAAGTTTCTTTCGACCCCGAAATAGAAAATTTGAAGAATATTGGATTTCATAAGAACTCCATTATTTTATTTTGTTAACTGATTCCTTGAAAGTAAACAAGGAAGATATGTGTTGCAACATGATAGGAAATCAACACAGTAGTCATCTTTTTTTGTTTCACTATTTATAGTTGGATTCCTATCTAATGATCCAAGGCGTTTTCCTGGACGTGAAACGTCATAATCATCGTGTTTGCTTGGTGCGTTCTGTTTTGCATTAATATTATTCAATCATAATAGTGCATCAGAATTATGATAGACTGAGGAAGGCTAGAACCATTGTGTTATGAGTTCTTGGTAGAATTAACTCATATGTTGCACGAGATGAAGTTGGGATTTATTGAGCTATTCCAAGTGACTACAAAATATGATGGTACATAATAAAGTTCACGATACTTGCTTGTGAACAATGCTGAAGGAGTTAAGACTTAAGAACTAAAAATGACATTTACGGCTTTGTGGGTTAATGTCACATATAATAAACTTCAACCTAAACAGAGATTTACTCTTGAAATCTCGATACATAACTCTTTGCCAAGATCATCCTTCATTCTTATTAAGACATCACATGGATAAGGCATTAAGAGAAGAGTTTATTGAAAGATGAGCGCCATTACATAAAAACATGAACTGTATTTCTCATCCTTACTGAAACTGTCTTTAGTTTGAGCTCATGTCTTGACACGTTGAGACATTTGATCCCGTTATATGTGAAGTAGCGTGGTGTAAAAAAGTGTAGTGTACTATCCAGATGGGAATAAGATGCTCAATTAGGGTGGTCATGGTTCGGGTTAGGACTAGAATCAGCTGTTTTTTTTTTAATTGGACCTGGTGTGGCGATTCGGAGTCGGGGCTGTAACCATGGGCGCATTTCGAGTCCTGGGCTCATGGCCCTGGCTGCCCCAAATTGGGGTCTGGAACCGGCTGATCTGCCCCCTCCCATTTTTTTTTGGAATTTTATCAATTTTATCAATCCGAGACCTAAAATATGAAATGTATCGATATAAGACCTGAAAGATGAAAAACTATCATTATAGGACCTGAATGATTTAAAATTATCGATCTAGGGCCTAAATTGTCATGAATTTTATTAATTTTTTTATTTTGGAAATTTTAAATATCATTTAACTTTATTAAACTAATAAACTTTTGTAAAGACAAGTTTATCAAAAACTAGCAATGGAATTAATAAAAAAAATAAATAAATAAAAACCTAAGAAATAATAGGTCCTAGATTGATAGTTTTTCATCATTCAGGTCCTATACCGATACATATCATCTTTCAGGTCCCGGATTGATAATTCATCTATCTTTCGGGTCCTGAATTGATAAAAATCTTTTTTTTTTAATTATGACAATTGGAAGTAGCTAAAAAGGTCATAGAAAAGCTGAAAAGCGGTGGGGAGGGGATGAGGGGTTTAAAAACTAGCCCACTGGAGTTATAGGTCCTGAGCTAGGGACCGAAACCGGCCCAAAACTGAACTGTCCAACCTTATGTTAATATGTTTTTACCATACTTAGACCAAAACTCTATTAGTAAAAATATAATCCATAATTTGCTAAATGTATAAACATAATTGAGAAAGAAGTCGTAATTGATCTACCACTATACTTACATTAGGACCACAAACTGTTTTTAACTTCAATATTTTTTTTTCCTCTTTGAAAGAAAAACAAAACTAAGATTAACTTCTCAAGATGATTTATTATGAATTCATTGATAGACGGATGAGTAGACGACTAAACTTCATTTTATGAGTAGTTTTAATCCAATTCTAACCATGTTATTTTGTGAAAAGATTTGTATTTTTCATTATAATTACTTAAAATTTTGGATTTTAATAGTATAGAGTATAGGCTAACCGATTAAATTTGTAAGCACTACTTAGAAAAAGTAACACAAATTAGAGTAATGCTTGAAATTCAAAATGATAAATCACAAAATTCAATAGTTGAATATAAAATTAAAATCTAAACAAAAAGGTAAAATATCATAATTCAATTTAATGTTTTTTACATGCATCTGAAGGCTGGAAAAGGCCCTTTTTATAAATATTTCTAAATTATATACAAAAGACACAAATGTGATTTATTTTTAAGTTCATAAAAATGTGACTTACTATATCAATTAACCCTTATCTAATACCAAGTATTACATTACTATTATGATATTTCATTATTATAATTAATGATTAATCACCCCAATGACCACAACCACCATCCTCGCCGCTGCCATCACTGCCACAGTGACTTCATTGCCCGTCCTTCTTCAGTCGTTTCGTCTTCTGACGTCATTTATCACCCTAAATTCATCAACCAATCTTCAATCACAATTAATGAACCGATCTTCAATCACAACTATACTAACCCCCAAACACGATTTTGTATCATCATTCTCAACAATATCTGACGGAGTAAGTTTTGTGCAAGGAATATGGGTGAATTCTTGGGGTACAAAATAGAATTAATTAAACAAAGGTTATTTACATTTTTGGAAGAATGAAAACCCGGTCATTTGTTATCTTCCAAAAGTGAATTTAAAAAAAATACCTGCAATAGTGTAGAAGTAATATTTTTACCATTTTTCTATACTTATAAGTGTATAACTACTTTTTATTAGTCATGAACACCCCCATATATGTTTTATAAAATGATCTAAATATTTTTTCCACGAGAGAATCTATATATGATCTCTCAATTTTTACTTTTTAGATAAAAAATATAGACTAACAATTTTAAATAATTCAAAACATCTAAGTTCCAAACTTGTTTAGATCTAGTTTGATATGCTAGTCTAATCTTAGTCTATTAAATTAAAGATATGATGATACATATATGTTTTACAATGAGATTTTGAAATAAAGGTAAAAATTATCCCACTATACAAGTTTAAATTTGATCAGAAAAATATCAAATTCAATTCATTTTTAATATTTAAAAACATGGAAGAATTACAAATTATTACTCTAACATTCCAAAGCATAAAACAATTTAGATGAAATTAACCATATTAATGAGATGATATAAACAAAATAGAGAAGTCTGATATCAATTTGGTAGAAAAATCACACCCTAGCTTAAAATCAATTGAATAAAGAAAAAATAGGAGTTATAGCCATTAGAGCATATACAATGATTAGTTAAGCTATATACATTATAGTTTTGTAATATTGTAAGGTAATACACTAATAGGGGTGCATTGAATATGAATTGTGGTAACCCTTTTTAATCCACTGACAGAAGACCCCAACAGAACACCCCTTGGAGGGTTTCTGTCCGAAGCACTTCTGGGGAAAAAAATCAATGGACTTTTGAATCCATACACTTTTTATATATGAATTCTATTGACTTTTAAATCCACTTACAGGTTTATAAGACTTTCAAAAAGTCCAAAGAATTTTAAATCGGGAACGCTAATGTTGGTCGTCAGAATTTTCACCTAGATCGCCGCTACCGATCTGCATGTTCGCCTCCGTCACAGGATCTCGCCGCCGCCATCATCGAACTGATCCGCCACCAACAAAATGGTTTTGGTTATGCAAGGAAATTAGGGACAATTAATTATATTAATTAATTAAATTAGGGGTAGAAATATACTACCTTAGTCCCAACAAATATTTTCCAGTTTAAATTGGCACGCTTATTAAGAAAGTGGAAATAAAGTGGAAATGTATGGTTGTGGTTGAGTAAGAAAAAGGAAAATGAATGTGAGCCACACAAAACTTTCCAAAAAAGGAAATGGGAACCATTTTTTGGGACATCCCAAAATGATAAGTGAGATTTTTTTGGGAAGGATGGAGTAATATTTAGTCCTATTTAAAAGAAAACAAACTTTGGAAAAAATGTTGTGTTTTAGTCCTATCACGTGTAATTTCCTATGTACGAAATTAGCATGTTTACAAGAATAAATGAAGCATAAGAATCCAAAGTTTTGAGAATGCTCAATAATCTCAGTCTATTTATGATCAATTATTATATTATACAACTCAATGAGTAAGAGCATTAATCGTTACACAAGTGTTACACTCATTTGTTACGTGTGGTACAAGAATATGTGCGATCGAGTTTATCTTCTTAATAATTGTTTTCATTTCATTTTTAGCGTGTTAAGTTTTGTATACTTATTTACGGTTATATATTTGTTAAGATATATTACCCCGGCCTATCACTGTACAGGGGCCCAAGACATTATTTGGTACGGAGCCCAATCCGTGAGGCCCGTTTCGGCCTTCTGGCCCACCTTGGCCCAAGAGGCCCGTCTAGGCTCGTTTGGTCCATTAGGGTAGAGCACCCCTCCCCTATAAATAGGAGGACTCCCCTCCTTATTAAGAACCCCTTTTTTCTTCTCCTCCCTCTTTCTTTAGCTAGTTAGTACCCCATTAGTGGAAGCTTGTACATTGTAATGTGAGGAGAGCATTAATAAAATGAGAGGGATGGGACAGTAGCCTAAACAGTCCCGTAGTTTTCTTCCTTTCTGGGTTTCAACGTAAAAATAGAGTTTTCATACCAAATTATATCTATATTTATTATATCGTGTTGGACTAAACTCAACAATGGCGCCGTCTGTGGGAAACTGATAAAAAAAGTTCTTCCAAAACTAAGCTCTCAGCTAAGAAATTACTCCAAAAAACAACTAAAAACAAGGAAGATGGCACGAAATAATGAAGGAAACTCCTATGATCTCTCCGAACGGCTGTCACGCAGCCGAAGAGCACGCCAGTAGGCTAATGGTGTGCGAACGGGTTTAACCGTATGGAGATGAAAACGTGTTATTAGATCACAGACATATAGGAGAACGAACTGCCTCAAGACCCAAGAAATAATGGAGATTACCCAGATCCTTCATGGCAAAATGTTTAGAAATAACTGATATAAACTGGGTAATGGTAAACTCAGAATTGCCAGTAATAATAATATCATCTACATATAACAATAAATAAATGATAGAATTATTATGACGAAAAATAAATAAAGAATTATCATATTCACTACAGGTAAAATTATGTTGTAGTAAAAAGCTACTAAACCGAGTAAACCAAGCCCATGGTGCTTGCTTAAGGTCATAAATGGCCTTGCGCAAATGACATATATGATTAGGAAATTGAGGATGAATAAAACCACGTGGCTGACGCATATAGACTTCTTCTGTCAGGTGACCATGCAACAAGGCATTTTTAACATCAAGTTGACGAATAACCCACCCAAAAGATATAGCTAATGTAAGAACAATACGAACAGTGGTGAGTTTAATGACAGGACTAAAAGT